AGGGGAAGTGCATGTTACAACTCGTGATGTTGATTCTTTCCTTCCAGGCATCAGATGCAGGTCTTTAGGCTTGGCACAAATGCCTTTACCTTCTGAAACTGGGTCTTGCATTAGGTTCATATTACCCTTTCTATGGCTATATGGTATAAGAAAGAAAGTAGGAGAGTCAATATTATAGACATCAAAAGCCTGAAATGTTAACACTCCTATAATTCCAATAGTCAGGAATCCATGGGGAAAAATCAAGTTTAAGGTCAGACTGGGCAACAAAGCAAGACTCTCAAAATAAAAAGCAACTTTGTAGTCTGGAGTCTCCACTTTTTCCTTTACATCTTGGCTAGGCAAATGAGGAACTTAGAAGACCCTAAGGGATCCAGAAGGAAACCACACTCTGATTCACAGCAGCCTTTGCATATTTTCTCGGTGCTGAGCTCCATTCCTGGTGGCTTACAGTCTGCATTTATCAGTACCTTCTAAAGACCCAAGGCTCCAATTGGTTGTCACCTACCTGCTAAGTCGCAGGGATCTGAACACTGCTTTCCCTTTCTCTAAAAATATACCAGTTAAGAAGTTCACTCAAGTTTTACTAGTGAAAACTTGTGGTCCTGTCCTGGTTTCCTCACCACAAGAAAGCAGCATAGAATTCAAAATAAAATTCTATGTTGGCCTAGATTGTCATCTTTAGGGCAGCTGCTGACTTCAGTGCTTGCTTACGTATCTGGAAATCTACCCTGCTCCTGGGCTCATATAAAGTTGCTACAACTTTAAAACCAGCTTAGCCATGCATTAAAAAATAATCTGTGCATATGTTGATATTAGTGATGGAACCAGGGACCTTGCATATGCTGGGTGCTATTCCTCTAAGTACCATAACACCCCAAAATAAAAAATATTGTATCCTTTAGGCTGAGCAATAGTGCAGTGGGTAAAGAACAAAGCCTATTAACTGAAGTTCTGTCCCCAAAAATGAACCCATATTAAGATAGAGAAAACTGACTCCACAGAGCTGTTCTGACCTCCACATGCACCCATGGCACATGCAGCAACCCTTCTCCCAACACAAACACAAGTTGTATCTTGTGTGCATTACTAAGTTGTATCTACCATGTCTTTGTTATTTATGCACATATACATATGCCTGCACATGGCCTATGTGAGTGAACGCACACAAGGACAAGTCAAGAACAGCTTTCAGGAGTCGTTGCTCTCCACTGTGGGTCCCATACTGACTTCAGATCACTGGGCTTGCTTGGCAAGCACTTTCTACCCACACAACCATCTCAAATTCATCATTGTAAATGTTCAGAGAGGTAAAGTCTTGTTACAGGCTTGGGTCTTTTGCAGAGTAGAGTCCTGGTTTGCAAATTAATGCCTTTTGATGCAGTGCTAGACTCCAAGAAGTAATCTTTTTGTTTAAGTCATTGAGAATAAAATTCATCACACTTTTAGGCAATCATTGGAAGAGTTTATTTCTTAAACTTAAAATTGAAAATCAAGATAACATGTTACCTTTGGTATTCTTTAGCCTTCTGATGATAAGGCTTTTCTTAGAGCTGGACTATTTTAACATCAGACCTTAACCAAGAATTAAGTGCCACACATCCTCTTGTTTTCCACAAGCCTTGGAGGAGCTGAGGAAATATCTTTTTAGAGGATTAGTTGTATAGTTCAGTGATAAGGCACCTGCCTAATATTCAGGCCCTGGGTCTGAGTCTGAATACCACGAAAAAAGTTCCTCAAAGCCAAGTACCATATTATGACCTGGTTGGTGTGGCTGTGCATTTAAGTAACCTGAACTTATATCCTAATGCAATTGATTACTAGTGACAACAGTAACAAATTTACCTTTCTTAATGCTAACACACTTCCTCTATTCTCTAATGGGAATTTTACAGCATAGCAAAATTATACAATTTCTCATGATATAATGTAAAATAAAGGAGTAAAAATATACCATTTTCCTTTCCTACCAACATGACAATATAAATGAACTATCAGGAGAATGGTCTTAACTTCTGTGTCAAGGTATCCAAAATGCAGTTGAAGTCCATGAAGCATCACTGACAGCAAGCCACTGTCTCCTTCCAAACTCCCCATGATTCCTTAGTCTATCTTGACCAGAAAGCTTAAGTGCTCACCCTGGGAAGTCCATGCTCTTCCCACTTCTGAGAAAGGCTCAGCATTTGATAATCTTTCCAACACGACTTTGGGATCTACTATTTCTCAGTACTTACTACTTCTTAGGCTCTTAAAATATTCTTGACGAGATTAGTAGAGTATTGGAAATGTTTTCAATTCTTTTAAATAATACTTCTTAAAGGGTAATTTTGTTTGCTAAGTTTTTCTGAAATGAAATCAGTTATCAGAATAGATAACAGAAGTGACTTTAGGGACAATCTATCTGTGCTGCTCAGACAGAATATCTGAGACTAAGTACTTTATGAAGAAGAGATGTGTTCTGCGGTGGGCTGTTAAGAGGCAGCTGGGTAACTGGTCGAGCACCCTTTGAACCCCAGAGACCCTAAAGTGGCGTAGGAGTTTGGCCCCGCTCCTTGGACCCCTAGTTCCTTTCACATAGCTTCAGTCCTCCACACTCTCTTCCAAAGAGAGATTTATGACCATTGGTCATGAAGCACAGGTAGAAGGCATGACTACAGGATACAGAGCCTCACAACATCTCCATATTCATGAGATACCTAAAGGACGGAGGGTGTAGCCAGTTAAACGTTCCTTCCCAGATCCTCCTGCTCGGAAAAGGTATTTAACCTTAAGCCCACCCTGAGAAAACGGGGTATAGCTTCATCCATTTTCCACCATGACAGTAAAATATCTTAAGACCATATCTTAAGACCCGGACTACCAAAAAAAAACAACAAAACCAAAAAAACCCGGACTACCTTTCATCTTTGGGGCTGCTGTGGGGAACCGTGGAGAAGCTCTTCACTACAGAGCCACCCCCGTGGTCTAATCTCCCACCAACCTCTCTATGTTCCAGCCACGGAGATCCAGCCATGACCAAGCCAAGCGAGTCTGTCTTCCCCGTGTGATGTTGCGGGAGCTCATCCTCCTCGCCCCTTCAGCTGCGGGTCCCCACCCCATCTCGGTCCTTCCGAGGCCTCTCAGCAGCGCCTGAGAGCCCAAGGGCTTGAAACCAGTCGCTCCCCAGCCACCCCCTTGGGCCGGGGATCCCCAACCCAAGAACTCTGGCCCCCTCGGGGGTCTCAGACTGTGTTCTCTCTACCACGGAGCGGGGATGGGGGTGGGGGTGGGCTGCAGCTTCCCACAGCCTATGCCCAGCGCAGTGTGCAGTGAATTTATTCGAATTCCCGAGCCTCTGCGTCCTTGACCCGTAGCCCTAGCCCCTTGGGGCGGCAGACATGCAGGACCCACAATTCAGCCCAACGGGACCCACGCCCATGCATGCTACAGCCCAACAGAGATGTGCTTTTTTATAGTTCATAAGTTGGAAAGTTGAGGTTAAGGTGCCAGCATCTAATGAGGATTTCCTTGCTGCATCAAGACACTGCAGAGGAAGGAGGGGAAGAGCAAAGGTATGAGAAGGGGGCAAACGCATCCTTTTATCACTTTGTGTGAGAACTAGCGAGACCTCTAATACAGCACTAACCCATCTGTCCTCAGAATTGACTACTTCATAAAGGCCTCACCGCTTACCATATCATGATATGTCATTTGTTTCCAACACATGAACTCTGTAATGAGACACATTCGGAACATAACAAGGACCTTTAGTCTAAACTCCATCTAATTCCTGGTTCTTTTAAACATTCCCAAGCTGGGTGTGGTGGCTCACCATGTAATTCAAGAGTGGAAACTGAGGTAGAACAGATGTGAGTTTGTGGCCATCCTGAGCTACGGAGTGACCCTGTCTCCAAAAGGAAAAAGAAATTCCAATAGCTGTTACACATTCTGAAAGGTAGAACATCCAACTGACTAAATAACATTTCTGAACTGTTTGAAAAGTTCATTCTCACTATATTGAAACCTTTTGCTTTCTGACCAGGAAGTCATTAGCAGTTTGGTTTCCCAGCTATAAACTTCATTGCATTCTACATATGTAATATGTCTGATGGTCTAGAACGTGAAGGGTTGTCATGATACAGTATCCCAACCTACTGCATATCTATATCACATTAAATTTTAAAGAAGCCACACGTCAGTCCTCACTCCTGAAAGCCAGTGAATGTGAGAAGTTAATTCCTGAATACCACAGGGAGTAAGATTTTAAGTGCTTAATTTCTCTTCATTGTAAAATTCTTAAATTCTTAATAAACACTCTTTACTTTTGATGTAACTGCACCTCTTTCAGATTTATATACCATCTCATGCTCAAAAACTGGCCAGTCAGAAGATGAAGGGTCCATGGCAATTTATTGCTCATTATTTTGAATCATCTTTATGAAGGTAATGCACACACTGGAAAACATCCTCAAGTAAAAGGTACAATTGCACTAACATTTATTGGTATGGCGACTATCCACATCATTCACATCTTTCCTCTTGTTTTTTTTTTAAATAACACTGATGAACCAGAGGCAGCAATTTCCCTTCTTTGTGAAGCCGGTGAGTGTCAGTTGCACCTCCAATAAACCTTCCATTGACAAATATCCTGGGAACCTATTGAATAAGCAAAAGATAAAATAAGGCCTAACCATAGGTATGAGAACTGGCGCAATTTTGGAGGGAAATGAGGAAAAGTCACTTGGCCAAGATAACAACAGGAAAAGAGGTAGGATGCAAATCCAAGACAATCTGATTCTAAAGCCCTTCCTCCTACAGACCACACTAATTTTAAAACACAAACTAAGGCAAGCCCTACCAGCCACCAGGAGGTTCCTCAGGGTCTGCCTGCCCTCCAGAGGCCTGAGTCAGAAAGGCTCAACTTTTCCTTTTTTCTGTCTCTTTCTTTTGGATGCTACCCAGAACCTAAGTACACTTTTTCTGATCCTTTGAGCTCCCTGTCATCCGGCTGCTTGTCTCCCTTGTGTCTGACTCTGTGCTGGCTTAACCAGTTGGCCTTCTTTCTCTCTCTCCTCCATTCTTCTCCCTCAGGCAACTACTGAGATTTTCCAGCTTGCCTGATGCAGCAGTTTTCCTTTTAACCTCTAAAAAACTGTCCTTGAGCAGCAAGAAAGGAAGGGAAAGGTAGGGAAGTATTAAAAATGCTTATGTGGTTCCTTTCTACGTGTTTACCAGTATCTTCTACAAACCTTTAAACAAGAAGGAAAGTGGCAACAATGAATAGTCCTCTTAACTGTTCATATGATGAAAAAAATACACAAATTTCCAGAAGCTAAAACAATACGCAGAAAACACAGATAAGCACAGGGACTGGAGAGTCGATTCTGGTCTGTCCTGTCTAATAATGGAAGGATAATTTTACCTCACAAAGACCTCCAAAAGGATCTTAACGTTCCACAAATACTCATGACATCATCAGCTGCCTCATGTCAGTCTGTCTCTCTGTCTCTGTCTCCCTCTCTCTCTCTCTCTCTCTCACACACACACACACACACACACATTCACTATGCTATTTCATATTCTATGAGGCTGGTTTCTTTGTAGATCTGCCATTGATTTATCAACGTTTAATTCACTGAAGTATCAGGCTTGCTTTTTTCTACCAGGAAAGTCTAGTGTCCAGGGACTGGTATGGTACCAGCTCATCACCAGGGACAGCAGAGCTGAGGGTGCACTCACAGTTCTTTCTCCAGTCATCTTGTGAAGCGCATCTTGAAACTGGTTACCATATTCCAACATATCCAACTCCACAACTTTATAGTTGACATTCATGTCATGGAATATCTTCTTGGCCATTGAACAGTAGGAACAGGATGTTTTTGAGAAAATCACCACACAATTGTTAGAAATCGTTTCCTAAAATATAAATAAATAAGTAAATAAATAAATAAATAAATATAAAACCTTCTCATTCTAGATATTACCTTTTGGAATTAAATCAAAGAAGAAGTATGATTCTGCAGGTTAGAGCACAACCCTGTGCTCCAGTGTTCAATCATCTATGTGTGGTATCTGTAGATTAAGGATATTATTCTTTTCAAACAAAGGCCACTAGAAACAAAAACATGTATCAAAACACTGGCCTCCTGAGAGTAGTATCAAGAATGAAACCAATGATAGCCAATTCTTTATTTCTTTCATATATTATGACAGCCAATTCTTATACTACAAACACTCCTGTATATTCCTAATATCATGAAGTCATTTCAACTTCACTGTAATCAATATAGGTCCATTCTGTATTATTTAAACTGTACAAATGAAGAAAATGTGGTACACAGGAAGATAAGTAACTGTCCTAGTTAGGGTTTTACTGCTGTGAACAGACACTACGACCAAGGCAACTCTTATAAGAACAACATTTAATTGGGGCTGCTTACAGGTTCAGAGGTTCAGTCCATTACCATCAAGGCAGAAACATAGCAGCATCCAGGCAGGCATAGTACAAAAGAGGCTGAGAGTTCTATATCTTCATCTGAAGGCTGCTAACAGAATACTAACTTCCAGGATGCTAGGATGAGGATCTTAAAGCCTAGACCCACAGTGCCACACCTACTCCAACAGGGCCACACCTACTCCAACAGGGCCACAC